GTGACAATTTGATTAGACTTTTATATTGTACATTATTTACATTTCCCCTATCATCTCCACTCCACTTACAGCATTTGCAAGAGGTTATTTAGTTATGTTTCATATAGGTATTTGAAACCCATCAATCATATACCATCACCTTAATCTCCTTCCTTCACCCTCTCCCCTTCCTATAATACTTCCCCTTCCCATGCTGTGCCTATTTATCAGTCCTGATTTTTGTTACTAATATTTAAGTTGATCAAAGGGATGTCTCAATGTATACCCGCTCTGGGTGTGCTTTACTTTGGTCTGTTCAATCCCTTTGAATACCCTCCTTACCCCTTCCCTCCTACCCTCAGTTTTTCAACAGTTTTCAATACACATCCTTATATCCTCTGCCTTTACATCTTATGGTATGCGGTATTACTGATGCTCTATCATTCTCTTTTCCTTTTCCTCTTTCCCTGAGTTCCATAGAGTAGTTCTACTGCTACAAACATGTTCTACATCTGAGTTTGTATATGATCATGCTTAGTTTTGTATATATGTTTTTCTTTGGATATAACGTCTCTGTATGAGGGAAAACTTCATTTTTTGTGTTTCTGATCTTGGCTAAATTCACTTAGCATGATGTCCTCCAATTACATCCATTTACCTTCAAACCCCATGTCATTATTCCTTGTGGCTGAGTACTACTCCATTGTGTATATACATCATAATTTCATGATCCATTCATCAGTTGTAGGGCATCTGGGTTTTTTCCAGAGTTTGGCTATTGTGAATCGTGCTGTGATGAACATTGGTTTGTAGGTGTCTCTACTGTTGGACCTCAGTTTTTGAAAGTACTATGAACCCAGTACTCTCCCACTTCCCTCTCATCTCCCCCCCATCACCATGCCCAGTTCAAAAGTGATTTAGCAAGGTACTAAAATTTTATTTATTCTGTAAAATTTACTTACTCTGTAAAATTAAGTAAAATTTCTAGTGTGGATTAGTGATAGAGCACTTGTCCAGTATGTATGAGGTCCTGGGTTTGATCCCGAGCACCACAAAAATATCTATTAAGATAATTGACTTTCAGGTCCAAGTAGTTCACTGAAAAAGTCTAAAAAATTTAAGAAATAAGTAGAAACAAATTTTACACAAAAATTTCCAGAGCACAGATAAAGAAGGAACATTCCCTTCCTGGTTTCATGAGGTCAGCAAAGCATCAATTTAGGTACTACCTGTTAAGTTGAAGAAAACCAGAAGCTTATCTCTCTTTGCCATCAATGTCAAAAAACAAAAACAAAAACCCAGCATCTTAAATTCATTGATACATAAAATTAAGATTACTTTATGACCAGTTTTGAATTAATACCAGGAGTTTAAGGTTGATTTAGTGCTAGAAAATGTATTAATGTAAGTTATTACATACACAGATGAGATCACATGCCAACTTCTACAGATTAAAAATAGCATTTGAGGGTGCCTGGTACTGGTGGTATGTCTATAATCCTAACTACTTGGCTGAGATGGGGAGGATGGTGGTCCAAGGCCCCATCTCAACCAAAAGCTGAGTGCAGTAGGGTGTGCCTGTCATCCCAAACTACTCCAGAGACCCAGATCAGGAGGATTGCAGTTCCAGGCTTGTCTGGGCAAAAAAGTTTCTGAGACACCACCCCCCATCTCAATGGAAAAAAATGCAGGATATGGTGATGCATGCCTTTATCTCAGCTATAGAGGGAAGTGTAAAATAGGAGAATCACTGTCCAGGTCAGCCTGGGCAAAAGTGAGACCCTATTTCCAAAATAATCAGAGCAAAAAAGGTTGGAGGTGTGGCTAGAGTGGTAGGGCACCTGTCTAGTAATATGAATCACTGAATTCAAACTCCAATTCTATCAAAACAAAACAAAAAAATTATTGGATAAAATTCAATACTCATAAAATTCTTGACGTCTTTGGCATAGAGGAAATTTAAATTTAATGGAGAAAATCTAAAAAGTAGTAAGAAACTCTACAGCAAATGTAATACTGATGAACTATTGAATGCTACACTTGAGAAAAAAACACTCTCATCACTTATATTGATGCTCTATTTACATTTTTGGCCAGTTTAAAGAGGCCAAATAAAGAAAGAAAATGTAAATTGATTAAAAAAAAAGGGGAGGGGGCTGGCGGAAAGGCTCAAGTGGTAGGGTGCCTGACTAGCACAATAGACCTCGATGACCAGAAATAAAGTCCTTGTCTAAATGTAGGCTCAGGAAGTTAGAAGTCGGGAAGCCAGGCTGGGTGCATAGCATGGCAAGACGGGCGAGAAGATTTAGACACCAATGAATCTTCTACGGACTTCATCTGATTACAATCTAAACGTGCACGTATGCTTGTACAGTCAGGAGGGGGATGTATAATGCAAACCACAGACAAGCTCTAGGATGAAATTCCACTGGCCTTGAGTTTATAGCATTTGCACATTAATTTCAGCAGAAATGCAACTGCCTCTTGAGAGTTTATCTCAAAGGAATTCCAGAATCTATTCAAAAAATTATTGCCTAGTATTTTTTTCTAGTGTAAGCTTTATCTGGAAAAGATAGAGTAAAACTGAGTAAAACTTGGAATATAAGTTATATTAAATTTGCTCAGTCTTTTCCTATACTTTTCTAGGTCCCTTTTCTGGAAGGAATGAAGATTTCTACATTTTGCTTACAAATGGTTGTATAAATAGGGATTTATTGACCTCAATTGTGTAACAGGAATCTATTGCCCTCAATTGGTTTCAGGGCAGCAGTTTTCCTCATAATTCATATTCCCTCAATCTGTTTCTGACTAATACTCACGTACTAGTTTTAACTGATGTACTAGTTAAAAAGAGAAACGGAGAACCCTCTCTTAAGCTTTTCAAAGGCCTAGGAGAAAGAATAATTTATTTAAAGTTACAGAAAGTCCCAATAGCTCCACATTCTTAGTTCATAAAAAATTTTAGATGGCATTAATACCTATCTACATGGCTATTGTGGGAACAAAACACATTTCAAATATCAAATCTAAGGAAAGGCATAAAATAAATACACAAAATATTTTGGCAATTAACATTAAGATATTTTCATCTCTTTTAGACATTTTGAGGGAAATTAAGAGACAAGGTAAAAGGGGTCCTTGGTACTGAAAAGTGCAGGAGGCCTAGAACCATTTTTGTAGGTCTATTCATTGTCAGGGCTCTGTATGGGCCCACAAAACCTCAGCCTCTTTGTGGATCTGTATCTTCAAGATGGACCTGACTCCTGCAACATGCTCAGAGAAAGTTCCAGACTCTCTGAGGATCATGGTAGGACAGAGGTTACCTGTGAGCTTTTAGAAAACTGAAAAAATAACAGCAAATGTACAGAGTAAAATGCTGAGTTTTATAAAGTGCAACTTTGTGGCTTTAGAGAACACAAAGTTCTGACAAATTAGGTTTTTCAGTAAAGAGGGTCAGTGATGGAAATGTGAAGTTTGGAAAAGGGGCCCAAGATAGTGGAAAATTTTAAGTCAGGAGAGTTTCAGAGAAAACACATAAAAAGAAGCAATAATGGACCTATTGTTGCCATGGACTATTGGAAAGCTCTTCCTGTATTAGAAACAGCTGTCTGCAAATGCCAGCCACTCTTGTTTTCCCTACTGCCTATACTGGAGTGCTTCTTGCTCTAGGAAGCATCCTGGCCTTGAAATCTGACACCCTTCATTACAGTGACTCATAGCAAATTGAATTTTCAATACCCTTTTAAATAAGGTTGGTGCTTTCCTACTGGACTCATCTTTATTCCAGTGTTTATTCATTAGTATATTGTGATAACCTAAAAAGTTAGGTTAAACACTTTTATTTTGTTGTGCTGTTTGTATGGGTTTAAATGCCATTAGTTTTAAGAATGAAAATTTTATAGAAATATATATTACATTGACTTGGGCTTCCATGTATTGTTTAGGTTGATTTAAAAAATTTCTTGAGCTGGCTGAGTGGCTCAAGTGGTAGAGTACCTGCTTAGTAAGCATAAAGCCCTGAGTTCAAATCCCAGTACTGCCCCCCCTCAAAAAAAAGATAGAGAAAAAGAGGACTGGATAAATTTCTTGAGTATATCAAGTTTCCTTTGATTTGCTGTCATTGCCTTGCTCATTTGAGATTCAACTTGGATTTGAATATTCAACATTTGCTTCCTGTTTTTGGATGCTTTTTGCATAACTAATTGTCACACTCATTCTTCAAACTCAATTACCATTTTTGTCTTTTTCTTTATAACTTCTTATACTTTTTATTTTTTTGGCAACACTTGAGGTTTGAACTCAGGGCCTCACGTTTGCTAGGCAGGCACTTTTACCACTTGAGCCACTCCACCAGCCCACTTCTTTCACTTTTTAAGAATAGTTTTCCATCACTTTCATTTAGAAAACCTTGAAATGTAAAAAATTTTAACATCATATATGAGCTCTGTATATATTAATTTCCATGAGTTGTTTTTGTTGCGTTAAATTTTGCCACATGATTCTTAATAGTGGGGATGATTTATTTTTACAGTTCTGTCATACATTCATTATGTTATATATGCTGCTGGAGGGCAGGATTATTGTTGATTTTGTTTTGTGTTTTATCTAAAATATTTAACATGAGTGAGACAGTCAATGTATGTGTGTTTAATGAATCAAAGAATTAGTTGTGAAGTATGGACAGAATGATAAAAACAAAGACCATTACTTATTTCTTGAAAGTCTAGTATTTTATTTTTAAACTTTTGTTTATTTTGTACTTTTTTTTAGGGCTGGATGTAATGCCATAGCTTTGTTCCTCAGCGAAAACTATTAATATAACATCAATAAAGAACTGTGTTTACAAGAAGTGAAAATAAGTGAACTTACTAAGAAAAAATTTGGGCAAAATAAACATGTTGGGAAATTTTATTTGAATGGCCTTTAGATTTTACAAAAAAGATATTTTAGGAACTTAATGATGTATGCTTTGGGGTACCAATCTCTTGAAAAAAATTGAATCACTTGTCTTTGGCATTCTTTTACTTCTTGGAAGATGAGGCAATTCTTTTGACTGAGTCACTGAAGGCCTGTTTGACTTGCTTGTTTCTCAAGGTGTAGATGAAGGGGTTCAGCATGGGAGCGATGGAAGTAGTTAGCACTATCACACCCTTGTTGATAGCCACTGAGTCCTTTGCTGAAGGCTTCACATAGATGAAGATGCAGCTTCCATAGGTGATGGAAACCACTATCATGTGGGAAGAACAGGTAGAAAAGGCTTTTTTCCTTTGCCGGGAAGAAGGAACTTTTATAATAGCTTTGATTATATATATATAGGAGACAACTACACAAAGAAGTGTTGTGATGAAGGTCAACACAGCACAGCCTACAACCATCTGCTCAATGGCCCATGTGTCTGAGCATGAAATCTTCAGGAAGGGAGACACATCACAAAGAAAGCTATCAATGATATTCGAATCACAGAATTCCAGATTTTGGCTTAGGCTAAATGGTGGGAGTATGATTAATAAGCCAGCTACCCAACAGCAAAGGATCAATCTTCTGCAGGCTCTGCTGCTCATGATAGTGGTGTAATGCAGGGGATTGCAGATGGCCATGTAGCGGTCGTAAGACATGGTGGCTAAAAGAAAAAATTCGGTTACTCCAAAGAGATCAGTAAAAAATGCCTGAATAGCACAAGCACAGTAGGTAATAGTCTTATCACCTGTTGACAGGTTATACAAGTATCTGGGAATACAAGCTGATGTGAATAAGATTTCTAAGAAGGAAAAATTCTGTAGGAAAAAGTACATTGGTGTTTTAAGATGAGGATTCATTAATGTAAGTGAGATAATTGTTAAGTTCCCAGTTATACTTAATAAGTAGGTAAAAAAAAGAAAAATTAAAAGAAGACTCTGAATTTGTGGATCATCTGTTAATCCCAGGAGAATGAATGTTGTTATTGTATGGTTTCTCATAATTGACTCCTTGTCCTTATGAAAAAAATCAGATATTTTATTAGCGTGTAGAGATGTGAAATTCCAGAGTGATATAGAATGAGAAGTAAATTCAAAGAAGTAACTGGTTCCCATGAAATTTGTTCTTTATCTTGGTAATTAATATTGTCAATATTCTCATGGGCATGTAAGTTTCCATTTTCTAATAATCTGAAAGAGGAATTTCTTTTATTCGCATTAAAAAAGTAAACAGATATTTAATTACATGTAATAACTTTTAACAGCTAACAGTAATTTTATGGGTAACATTTTATGGCTAGTAACTCTAAAAATGAAATTAATATTTTCGAGCAATTACTAAGTGATTACCATCTAATCCTTTTAGTAAGGCTGTGAGGGAAGTTCTCTCCTTTTTTCCATTTTACAGATGAAAGAAGGTTAGAATAACTTGTATAAGGCAAATGATTTGGTTACTAAGCATTGGAACTAAGAGTCAAATCTGGGTCTGACTGTTTTTTACACATGAAATCACTTCAGGAATCTTACAGTATATTTGATTCATACAAGTTAGTTCTTCCTGGAGGTGGAAAAATGCACTGTGATCACACAGTTGGTAGTAAATAACTGGCAGAACCAGAGATAAATTCAAGTCATTTTTCAGTCATCTTTTGGCACATGTTTATTGTGCATAGGTGCTATTGCTATGATGTATGCTCAGAATTGAGGATTCGGAGATGGCCTGATATCTCTTCTCTTAACATCTTGTTGCTTTTGGACTCTTTCTCATATTCAGTTAAATTCTATGGGAAAGATTTCCACTAGAGACAGAGGAGTTAAATGTTGGTGTTAAGGAACTCTTATGCTACAGCAATTATAAACACTGATTCAAAAAATAAATATTTAAAGTTACTGGAAAGTGTCCCAAAGCAGAAAAGATTATAGGAGAGATTTAATATAAAAAACTAACGTGAAGATACAAAATATAGACAAGTTTAACTGTGTCACAATCCAATAATTTATAGATTGTACATTTCAACTGTTTCCAACTTCATTTTAAATTTTTTGTTTACATTCTGACTTGGTTTTTATTGATGATACATTCAATATTAAGGTTTTCTTTTACTCCTGTGCATTCTTCTTTATTTTGAAGTTGAAATCTTAAAGTTTGCTAACAGTTTCATACCTTGCTTATAGGTTTCTTCTTGATAAAACACAATTACATCTCCAAAATCTATCATCAATTATAATATTATTTAATTTATTTTTTTGAGACAGGGTCTTACTATGTAGCCCACACTGTCCTGGAATTTGCAGTCTTCTCCCCTCAGTCTCCCAAGTGGTGAAATTACAGGTGTGGACCATCATGCGTGGCTCAATTATAATTTAATGTGTAAAGTATGTATTTGTAGCCAGTTCTGTGATTTCATATAGAATATATATTGTGATAATCCTATTTATATATTCAGTGGTGACCTCTTTTCTGAAATTCAGATACATGCAGCCACATACATCTCACTGAACACATACAAAATTTATTTCATAGACTATATTCTATCATCTCTTCTCCATGTGTTCCCTCTAGTAAAGTTAATTGATTACAATAATTGAACTCACATGATACGCTATGTGTGTGGTAATCACTAGATAGAAAATACCTGTTTGGAGCAATATCTCCTCCAATACTTCCTCTTTTTCTACTCCATTTTTCTTTAAGGGTTATTGAATTCAACTTGAGGATGCACATTTCTCTTTGATTTTCAGCCTAAGCATTGTTTCTTTTGGGAAGTCCTTTGAAACTTAGTGGTTGTGTTGGATTCCCCTAACACTCATTCATGAATCACTGCCAAACATTGCTTATTTCTTTTTGAAATTAGTGTATATTAATTACATAAAGTAATGGGTTTCATTGTGACATTTTTCATACATATGTATGATATATACTTATTTCCTTTTTTTAAATTTTTGAGATAGGATCTTACTATGTAGCCCAGGCTTGCCTTTAACTTGAGATCATCATGCCTCCATCTCCCAAGTGCTGAGATTACAGACATGTACCACCATGCCCAGCTCTGCAATACTTACTTCAATGATGGCATTTACCCCAGCAACACTTCTATGGAAGTCAGAAGCTATGTTCTTTTTCAACTGGGGTAATCAATAAACCAAGGTATATAGTCAATGTCTAACAAGTGGTTGTTTTTCTCCAGACACATACACAAAGCTATCTTCTTCCATATTTGGGCTTATTCTTGGTATTGCTCTATTACCAAATTTACTATTTAAAAATATATGCCAATGGCTTTCACATTTTATTTTTAATTTATTTGTGATTTTCTGTATTAAAGTGAAGTGTTTGCTATGAAATTAAGTCATAGTATAGAACCACATTCTCTGCTAATGCTCATTATCAACCAATAACTCTCTTCTCTTCCTTGCTTTATCTGTGGTATAAATGAGCAGCTGAATCTCCACTTTTGCTTCTTTGAGATAGCTGTCATTAAGAACACAAAATAAAGTTTGGTGGGGTGGCTCAAGTGGTAGAGTGCCTGTCTAGTAAGCATGAGGCCCTGAGTTCAAACCCCAGTACCACCACCAAAAAAAAAAAAAAAGAAAATTAGAAAAAGAAAAAAAGAACATGAAATAATAGGTCAACTTTGCAATAATGAATTTGGGTCAATAGCTCCTTTATTTTTCCCCCTAGCTTAATTATAGTATCCATCAATTAAATGCTACCAGTCAGTGTCTCTAGGGCTAACTATTTTTCCTATATCGATGAATGAAAGGTTTCCCTGGGAGACTCAAATGAAATAGCTATAAGACTCAAATGAAATGCATTGATTAAAATACTCCCTTCTTACTAGGATGAGTACAGAATCAACTCTATGTGTTAAGTTCTCACATTTATGTCACTATCTCAGGGAAGTGTCATTAATGAGGATCTTGGTTTTCTTGGGAGCTAAGACTCTGAAAGACAGTAGGGTTGCACAGGGAACAATCTCAATGGATCACTTTAAGATGTAGAGCAATACTCCTCAGATACCCACCTACCTCCTTTGAGTCCCATTGCCTTTCAGCTCACAGACAGCAAATACTTCACTATAATATTAATCTTAGTCCTGCACATGATGGGAAACTTTAAGAATCTAGTTATAAATATTATTATTCCAGGAGAAAACCAGCTTTCCTGTATAATTAGTGCCAAGTTTCAGCAACATAATTGACTCTAAAATGTGAATAACAAATCTTTCAACTGTATTTTTCACATTTTTTTACTTACAATGTATGTAAGCATCTCTAATAAGATGATGTCACATACAGTCCTCTTACATATGACAATAAATTATGATATATTGGCAACTTCCCTAAATAATTGCTATTAGTGACACTGCAATGTATTCAGTGGTAATACTCTCATGACTCTAAAAGTTAACTATAGATTCTGCTCACTATGCAACCATTAAAAACCTTTAATGAGAAAAAATTGAAAATGAAAGTGTGTTGAGACTCATGTGTGAACTTATAACTCTTGCTAAATTGAGATTTATGTATGAACTTGAGTTATCTCTTGCTCTGCATGTTCACAGGCAGCCCTGAGCTCATGGTGTTTTCTATTAGCACCATAGTGCAGTGTCCCCTTAATGGATCTTCTGGCATTGTGCAGCTAGACAATACTTTGTTACTCTCCAATATCTCTTCATTATTGGAATGGAAAAATTTTCAAAGTGAATAATGTTAAGAATGGTCTCTTTGGTGGGGAAATCTAATGTTTGAATTTCTCCGGTCTTAGGTTAATACACTACCAATACAACATGTATAATTTATAAGTTGAAGATAAGAGGGTCTTTTATAATACAGCATCAAAAGTTAATAATAGATCTTCTCCATGTTGAAATTTTGTTTACTTGCAGTGCTGTGAATCGAATCAGGGCCTTGTGCATGCTAGCACTCTACTACTGAACTGCCGCCCCAGTCTGTGTTTTGAAAGTTTTAAAAAACCTAAAAATGATAGTGTTCTCAGAGGAGGAGTAAGTACCAGTATCACTGCCATAGGCTGCCAGAACAAGATACTAAAGTGCCAATCTAATTTTATGTTCATACATTTTAAGGCAATTAGAAAGTATAAGACCTCCTATTTCTATTAATCTGTTTTTACTCATATGGATAATTAATAATGTTGAAAAAAACTCAGTGTGATAGGTAAAAATGGAAAAAGAATGTACTTTGTTATAAAATAACAAGTAGCTAACATTTTCTTTCTGCAAATATAACTAGATATATTATGAACAATACAGAAATGTGAACTTTAAACACAGAAATTGTACAATTGAATCCATTATTTGTCATAGGCTGTTTAACTTAAAATATGTCATGAATCTCTTCGTATAATCGCTTTGTTACCTGTTCGTCTTGGTCATAATACCCAAACCAAAAAACACAGCGATGCCTGGTTTCCCCTCCTGTTCTCAGCAGATGTCATCTCTTCATTGTTGCCATTTACACTTCTTCAATCATTCTTTCTGTGCCATATTAATGTCAAACGTCATTGTTTTCTGAGTTTGTGCCAATAGCTCTTCTATAATTTTGATCAGCAATCATCAGTTTGCTGCATTATAGTCTCAAATATTTTTAGTCCTGAATCACCGTTTGAGATTTGCTTATATCAGTGAATGAAAATAATGTTCCCTGGAGGCTCCAATTAGACTATAATGTGAACACTTTCCTTTGTATCTTTAAAATCTTTTCTTCCTTTAAAAGGGGGCAGAGTCAGCTGTCAGATGTGTCTAGGATCCCTAAGTATACAGGTACTATCACAGAGAAAGAGGGCAGTTCTAGGATCAAATTAAGAGATGCTAAAGGATTATCTCTACAGCCTACCTAGCCTCCTGCTAAGCCTTTACTTCAGTTCCCCAGTGTTTCGTTCAGAATGTAGAAAACATACACAGTTCTGGCCACCTGAGTAGAATTGCTTGTTTTAAAATATCTTTTCTTCTAATCCTTAGCACTTTCCTCTTGTACAAAAT